CTACTCTATGCTAATTGTCTAAAGAGCTATTAAAAAATCTGTTTAAAGTAATCTGTGCTTGAGAAGGCAAGATTAGAACAGGAAAAACACTGAAAGATGAAATGGCTTTGAACAACCATGGTCAGAGATCAGGATTTGAGATCTAAACAGTGTTCCTAAAGCATTGTCACAGATGGTGCCAGAGTTATGCCCTTGATTTTTGTAACATTATATTAGGCTCTCTATATAATACATATTGAAATCTAAACACCTAATACCCTTAACTCAGAAAATTACTTGCTTAATCATGCTGGGAGAGAAGCACACGGGAGTGTAATTAGTTTGGTAATAGAAAATAGCTAAGAAAGATACTGACTATATAGAGAAGTGCTTCTGATTTAGACCAGACAGACATCCATTCCAGTCAGATGTTGAACAGATTCTTTGTAGAGAATTATGGTGGTAAAACATGAAGTTCATCCTGATATGTGTAAGAATGTGCATGCACAATACACTCACACAGAAGGCTGAAGACAGCATTTGATGACATTGGTACAAAGTTATTTTGAGATTAGGAAGGATAAAAGTAATAATAAGAAATCCTATTCCTCAAATGCTGAAATAAGTATACATATCCCTGTTTATACCAATGCTTAAACAAAAGAAAATCTAAAAGAGGCAAAAGATATCTTGGAACAGTCATGTTTTATCATAGAATCATAGAATCATAGAATCAACCTGGTTGGAAGAGACCTGAAAAAAACCCAGGTTTTTTGTTTTTTTCTTTTATTTTTCTGTCTTATGCAGTAACATCTTGCCCAGCTTCTTATGCAGGAGTGCTTATGCCTATATGTTCTTTCCAACTTTGCTTCTGCATAGAGGGCAGCACAAAGTGCAAATTTCATCAAAGAAAGGTAATAGGGAAATCCAAAGGGAGAAATAAAGGAAAATAATCACAGCATTAAGATGTCTGTCTCTGTTGGAAGACCTAACGCTGGCCAGATTTAATCACAACATGCATCATTTGAAGTGACATACAGTGTATCTTGCTGTCTTAAAACAATTGCTGTTGAAGATCACTTCTTTGGATTTTCTTCAGTTTTACACACTGGAAGTTGGTCACTGTGGTTCTCCCAATACATAGGGTGGCCTTGCTGTGCAGCAGTGACACTGAGGGTTTGTTTGGGACATCAGTGCCATTTAAACTACTCATGGTCTGCATTCACACCCACCCCACTCACTCTCTACCTCCTGGCAGGCAAATGACAAACCTGGCAGGTGAAGGTGTTCTTAGAGTATATGGAAAATTTTAGAAAATATTGAGAGTTAGTGCAGTAGGAGAAAAGGGGATTGCCTGTAAGGCTTACTAATGCTACAGCTCATGGAACAAATAAGTTTTCTGCACTAGCAGGACCCAGTGGAAAAAACAAAATCTCATTTGAAGAATATAATTTCTTCATCTCTTGAATGAAGACAGGTTCAGTCTCTCTATAATCCTTGGTGGCAAAGTGCAGATAGCTCTCATTTTCAGAATATTATTGCAGTGCTGGGTCAGGAACTCTGTCTTCATTGTCTTAATTAGAGCTTTACTTATGCATGCCTTTTAGATTTTGTCAGTCTCTGGCTAACATAGCTTTTAACCTCCTTTCAATGTCAGATCCTACTGAGCCATTTCACTTTACATCAATTTTTCCACCATTACAGCCTTCACTTCAGCTAACGGCATTTAGTTAATTTGATGCCATTTATTTGTACAATGCCATTTATAGTCAAAGTATTACAAGGTTTTTTTTTTCCCTGAAACTACTGTACTTGTCTTAAGATTCAATTGAAAGTGTCTCAGAATTTAAAAAGTCCAATTTTGTCTAATTTCCTTGTCATTCTCATTAGGCAAAGGGTAGCAAAAGTGGGAAGGGGGATTCATCTCAACACATTTGATTAATCTGCACGTATGCAAGCGAGAACACTAAAGTGAGAGGCTGTGCAGGTCACACAGTGCACTCCCTTCTCCACTAGCCTGCAGCATATTTATTGCCTAATTATGCAGAGCCATGAGTTAGATACTACAAAACAAAACAATCCATTTCCCAGGGTGATATTTCTGGAAAAACTGGGTGTGAGCAAAGGATGACTATCATCTCCAACTCCTGAGGGAAAGGAGAAGGGCATGGTAATATATCCATCTGGGAAGTTTCACATACAATACCTTTCTGTGGTGGGTAGTCCCTGGAACTACAAACAGGAATAACATGAGGTTTGTTCATGACTGTATCAGTTGGTCACTGATATTTGCAAAATATTTGGTCATTCAGATATTTTTCTACCTCGGATGATGGTTAGCCCAACACAAGTCAGGAGAAGGGAATATCTTCAGTTCCTGACAATAAATAATCTTTATTCCTCAACAGAAAGGAAAATTACAGTCAGTTGTGACTACCTATAATGGATTAGGTTTCCTAGAGAACCATCTTTGTGACTTCACATATTTAGGTATAATTCAGTCTCCAGTGATTTTGGAAGACATATTGATGTTAAACAGAACAATTTCTTCCCATGTAAAATGGCTAAATCATGAACTCATGATTACCTGTGTGGTCTTGAATCGGCCCAGTTTTGCTGGTCAGGATTGCCCACCTTAGATCCACCTGGTTGTCATGCTCCCAGTGGCACAAAGTCTTTTGTGATCCCCAGCCAAAGGCACAGTTGAAATTGTATAGTGGCAGCTCTGCAAGGAAAGAAGGCAAAGGGGGGATGAAATGTGATAATTAATTGCATAATTCAGACTTCCAAACAAATGCATACATATGACCATTAACAGAACCATTCCTCCTTGAAAGTCTGAGAAGTCATAGCAAGACCTTTCCAAACCTCCTGGGAAACAGATGAAAAATTACTACTTTTAGTAAATGATGTGGTTGTTTCTTATCTCTTTATGACCCATATTTGAGGACTTTTTTGTGGTTAGAATAATTCTGCTGAATTACCCATATTAGCTGATAACTATGTTGCAACATATATGACTCACAAAGAAAACTCTGGCTTACTTATCAGATATATTTTCTGGTGGTCAGCATCTCTTTTCACTGTAATGGTGCAACGCTTTGCAACAACTCAAAATGATATTTGGACAAAAACAAGTGAAGACAGAGACATTAGCAGAATGTCCTTGGTAGGAAAGGATTTTTGGTGAAATCTATAGTAGGTGGTTTCAATAAGGAACTTATTTCAGCATCTTCCAGTTAGCTAGGCCCACAAGATGGCAGCATTGAAATGGACAAATTGAGAGGGAAAAGGGACAAATGTGGCTGATTGCCAAATGAACTCAAAATAAGCTTCAAAACAAGCTCTGCATAAAACAAGGGAAGTCTGGTATTATGGTCAGGATGAGATCATATCTTGTTTTCAGCTTCTTTTCAATTCTGCCCAAAGGTTTAATACATAGTAGCTTATTTTCTTCAATAGAACTTGGAATTTGAATGGAAAGATTATACAAAGATAGTATATAAATCCCTTGCATTTCTTACTTTCAGAAGCAGTTTGAAATCTTTTGAGCTTTTGGTTCCTACCACATTGGTATGAACTTCTATCTCACCTTGAGCAACGACAACTCCCAGTAGAGAAATACCCTTCCCACAGCAATGTGGCCAAATCTTGGAGTCTTTTCTCAGGCATGACTCACACCTTATTAAAGGAATAACTTAGGTTTACTTTAATGAGATGCTTTGTGCAAGTATGAACTAAGAACAAAGGGCTCTGTGCTCCCACCAATATCAGCTCTGGGGGAAGAATTATGTTTCTTGCCCATTACTAATAAAAAAGCCAGGAAAGATAATGCAATCCCTAGAATGTGTTTGTGTATTGTGGGAAAATAGGGAGAAATATGGGAAGTGTGTTAAGACCTCTGGTGGGCCAGACCTCTGAGGTGGAGCTCTTCCAGTCTGAAGAGGCAAAGACCTCCTCCATGTACTGAGTTGCCAGGGAAGACTGGTAAGGCTTTTGAACTCACAGCCTAGATTTTAATGGAAAGTAAACTAGAATAATAATTTTATCAACACAGAGAAAACCTCAAGTGAGTAAGTTGAGACAGAATGGATATAAGAAAGGTTCATTTATCATTTTTTCCTTACCTGCTGTCTTTGTTTGGCAGGTCCTTGCTCCCAGACCTAGTTTTAATTCAACTTACTGGATTCCTACATTGCAGCCACTGTGCCCTCTCCCCTCTGTCCCCTAGAAAATTTCATTCTGTCAGCAGAGAGGTGTATGGCAATTCCTGCCCCTCTCCTTTGCCTGTCAGTGCCTTGGCTGTGCTGTGGCATCTCTCCACACTGAACACTCCTTCTTCACTCCTTCCTTTCACTGTCCCCATCCTGCCTGCCTCCCCCCTCTCTCCTGCTGCCCTCCAGAGAGTTGGGAACAAATTAATTAAACAGACAATGCCTAGCACAGGAATTCAATGTGGAGAAAAGATGCTTCCTGGAGCACCCTAGCCCTTTCTAGGAAAGAGGCAGATTGTGGTAATAATCTCTCTTTGGGCTCAAAACATTGAAGAAGCAGAACTCACACACGAGTTCAGAAAGGCAATCCGTTATGTGTCTTTCTTCAGTATATGGGGTATTTTTTCTAGACAATGAGGCCATGATCAAAGACATCTTGCCTGAAAGGGGACATCTGAAAATCAAGGGGAGTTTTCAAAGAAACAGACAAATTAAAAAAGAAACAACGAATTCAAGGGTTTTAAGATCCTGAAAAATAGCCTTTCATTGTAAAGGAGGCCTAGGGAGAGCTATATTGCATGGCTTTGACATCAGAGCCATGAGACAGAACTTTAGAAAAGGTTTTAGAAAACGTAAAACAAAATTAATCTTATTAATCCCGAAGGATTATATCATGCAAAGCTAGTGATAGCCTGTGTGGTATTCAAACCACAAGAAAGGAGAACAGTGGTAGATAGATCACATCCATCTGAAGATATCACACAGTATAAATGAGCATGTAGCACAAAGAGATTGAAAGGACTGGTATTGTTCAACTCTGAATAAAAATAAATAGCAGAAGACAGAGGAGAAATATGTAAATGAGTGAAGAATCCAGAGAAGGAACAATACAATATTCTGTTTTCTCCATTTCATAGCCTAAGAACTGTGAGATATCCAGTGAAGTTCAATGTCGATCAAAGGAAAAAAATTCTCATATGATGTGAGCAGCACTTGCTCCCTTGAATGCTGCTAAAGCTGAACACAATTCAAATAGAACTGGACACTGAAAAGGATAAGGAAAATATCCAGAATGTAATTGTTAATTTTAAAGTGCAGGAAGTGACAAAAGCCTTTTGCTTCATGCTCCAAAGCCAGCTCTGAACACTGGGATTAGAAGGAGAGTTTCAAAACAGAACTAAATTTCACAGCCCTTTCTAATAAAGGGTTTCTTACACTTTCATTTGAAATATATAGTCCAGGAAATTGGCAAAGAACCTAAGTCTGATATGCTTTGGCCATGCCTGTGTTCTTTGGCTTCGGACTCAGAGACAGCATGGCGTAGCATAAAAATGAACTTCTTTTCCATGCAGAAGTAGAATCCACTGAAACTGACCAGAATTTGACAGTAACCTGCTCTCTGCTCGATATTTCTTGCTAGGTTCCTACTGTTTTCTCAAAAGCAATTGTGTTAATATATTCCTTAGGCAATCACAGCAATGGGATTGAAGGTCAAAGGCAAGACATTTCAGAGTGCTCTTACTTTATGGGCTCCTTAAACATGCCATCTCTTATTGCCTCTTCTTACATCTCTTCCAATGCTTCTCCCAGGGACCCATAAAAAGAAAAAATAGACCTGCTAGCCAATTAATAACGGACACTTGTAGCATCAGGATAGGTTCATTATGGTTCAGTATGGACAATGGATCTGCCCCAACAAAAGACAGACTAGTTCAACACTTCTATACAAGTTCCCAGGAGGCTGATACAGTAGCTCACAGCAAGCTACAGGCAATCTGTCCTCTTCTTTGTCCTTGAACTATAGCTTGGCAGCTCTGGTGGAAGGAAGGAAACTAGGGATGAGCAGCATTTGGTGGGCTCGCTCTGCAGTGCTGGCCCATTTCCCTGCTAGGATAATTCTCTTGCCAATAGGTGATTGATCTCCACATTTTTGTGTATTGAGAGGAGGAGGAAAACCAGCTCTTATGTAACCAAATAACAGCAGATCAGATGAGAACTGAGAGGGAGGTGTGACGAAATCCCATATGCCTGTTTCAAAATGTAGGGTACGTGATACTGAATTAAAACAGGTTTATCCTCTCAAAGAATCACCAACAGCTGTACTTCTTGACCACATCTTGCTCACAGCTGGGACCATTACTGCACATGAACAAGAAAGTCATTTGAAAATCTAGCTGAACGAGTTTCTAGCAAGTCCATTAATCTTTCATGGCCCACAGACTTTGACATATTTTTGCAACTCTTCCAACAAGAGGCAAGAAGGAGCATGATGGCATTAAAGATACTATGAAAATATTCTATAGGATGCTCTTCCCAAAGGGTAAATCACATAAAAATAGGAAATTATGAACATAATTTGGATCACTTCAAAGCAGTGTGTTTGGTGTGATTCGTATTTGCATTTCACCTTCTTATACCACTTATGCTGGCAGCACAGAATTACCTTAAACGATAGTAAACGGTAATTTAACTGCTTTAATATCCCTTTACTGAAGCAGAGTTTCCCCACCACAAATGAGAATCAGATCTACTCTACCTTTAAATTATTTAAATTAGCATAGATTTGAACCTCAGGATTTCTTACTTATATTTTTTCTGAAATAGCTATTCCATGTGTGAAAAACAAGACACTTCTTGAACAGTCTGCTTTACAAAGGACTCAGCTTACACACTGAGAGCACATAATATAAATGAACAGCTTGCTCTGTATGTAAATAGCTAAGAGACAAGCATTTCAAATAGTCCTTTAGAACTGAAGATGTGTTCAAAAAGGTTGGATGTTAGGAAGTGTTTGGGCTGAGGCCTGAAAGGTATTTACCTTGACAGACAGATAACAAATCTGCCTTTAACAAAAAGGCATCTTTGTAAGTATGAGGAGGAAAGTAGGTCCTCTCTTTAAAAAAATCCCCAAAAAATCTAAACCTTTAAACATTTTTAGCACTTTGAAAATCATGATTCTTTTTATTTTCTTTCCATTCAGTCCCCTTGAAATGAACTGTAAAAGTCTCCTTGATGGAAAGCTTGTTTATACACAGAGGCTTTAAAGCTATTTGCTCTTGACTGTTTCCATAGTATATGAAAGCTGGTTGGAATAGGATAATCTTAGGCTTTGACACACACAAGCATGTTAGTCTGGGATAACAGGATTAGGGGTGTTTTTTAGGCTTGAATGCAGACAGTAGGACAATGACACATAGCATTAGCACCTATTGCAAAGTACCTGTGCCACGGCAGGTGCTGCTACTGGGAGGGCTGGTCATGTCTCACTGGGACATGAGCTGCTGTGGCCAACATTGGCACTGTGTAGCCCATGCAGTGTTACCCACTGGAGTCTGCAAACTGCAACTCATCTGGAATAGTTCTTTGGCTTGCAGTGTATCATTTACCTCATGATGAATTAGCATTTTAAGGTAAACCAGGCCATGGAGGGAATTAAGGCTGAAGATGAAGGCTCAGCTGAAGCTGAAGGCTCAGTCCTTGATGTGTTAAATTCACACTTTGTTCATATTGAGAATAGCTGCACTTATCCTCAGGCAGCTGAGGGCCAGGGGCTCCCTAAGCAGCCCTGCAGCTTCAAGGGCAGTTTAAGCTACATTCTTGGTAGCAGATTCTTACTCCCAGCTGCATGGCCCTTGCTCTGAAGTGCTTCATTGGGTCCAGCCATGCCCCTTCAGCAGAAGGAGGGCTTTCCCCATGTTGAGGGAAATTTCTGTCTCCCCCTTTTTGGGAGTTTTTTGGCTGGTTTTCAGGAGGGATTACGAGGCAGCTGGAAACCTTTACATCTTAAACTGGAGATTCTGGAAACCTTATTCTTATTTATTACTGTCTGACTGATCTCTATCTATGATGTTTGTAATATGTTGCCATGTGGGAGCCTGGAGTTTGGGATATGAACTCGTCCCTTATTCCCCGGAAGGAAATGGTTCCTACCAGCACAATGTAGGGAAGTAACATTGGCATGCTCTGAACAGAGCCTCAGAAACTCCTTTAAAAGAGAAAAAAACTTGGCACATCATGGAGTAAGCAAAGGTGGTGCAGGAGGCAAGTAAGGAGGGAAAATGAGGATATTTTAATCTCTGGCAATAACAGTCAATCTGTTACTGGAGAGTCCCACCCAAGCCAAGGGGATTAAACACAACCTGCAAAGGCAACTGGCACTGGGGAGGAGGGAGTGAAACTGCATTGCACAAAAGCACTTTCTAAATTTGCAATTTGTTTAAATGCAAGAGGATAGTTTAAAAAGACCTGTAGAAAATCCTTCATTTCATCAAAACAGAAACCTAAAAGGTAATTTCCGCTCTAAAAATTAAAATGCTTTACTCTAAATCCACCATGCAGAATCCTTTGTTCCTTTGCATTCCCCATCCCTTTCCAAAGTGTGGCACCAGCAGCAGCCCTCCAGCTGAGTGTGGAAGAGCAGGGTGGAGAGGTATCCCACAAGGGCAGGCCAGCCTGTGTTTTTTTTTCTCATTGCACTGGTGCTCTGCAATCCCCCTCTGCTCATAAAGCAGGGCAGAGCTAGAAATAGTGTATGCTGACTCAGCCAACTGGATGACCCTGGAGACAAATTTTGAGGAGAGCAAAAGCATTGGCCTTTGCAATATCTGAATGCAGCAGCTGAGAGATTGAACAACGTCTGAGCTAAGTCAGCTCTATCTCTTTAATCAGGTCAACACCATCAGTGTCCTCTAGGAAACTTTTGCATTATTAGTCCCTTTCTTTCACTTGAGGCAAGAGTGGACTGTGTCACATGGTTGAGGAAACAATGATAAACACTTACCCACCCTGTTAATAAATTACTTGCAAGACTGTGCCTGACTGTGCTTTAATGGAGGAAATGGGAGTAACTGAAAACTGACTCTTTTACTGCTCCGCAATTATTAAGGCAAAGGATTTTTAACTGGTGTTCCTAGTTTTAGGAGTTTGGGTTTTCTGCCCAAATCTGTCCTCTCTCCCACTCCCAGTAAATCGTACAGGATATGAAAAAAATTGTAGGAAAGCTGTGGAAGCAGCAAACTAAGGAATTTAAAAGCTGCTGGTTATTGTATTAAGTAAAAAGTACCCGCTGCCAGTGACAACTTGGTTTTCCCTTTTCAAGTTCATGGTAGCAGTTTATGTAACCTCATCTCAAGAAAACTTGCTAGAAAACAATATTGTAAAACTGCCAGCTCCCTGGAGGAGAAAACTGGCAAACTTTACTTGCCTTAGTTTTGTAAACCCATGGATATAAATAGTGAGTGGGCCTGTGTGGCTCTGTTTTTGTTTTCCCAGCGTTTGCAAACACACTTTGTGTCACTGACATGCCACATTTAGACAGTGCACTGTGTGATTAAGTTATTTCAATTTTGTCAGCATTTGGCATTTGCTGATGCAGAAGGAAATCTTGTTCTCTGCTGTGTCTACATGTGGATGAAAGGAATAAAATATTTACTGTACAGAGTTAAGAGACCAGATGCTTCTTTACTTCAGAGACTTTTAAGGAATGGGAAGTCAGGAAGTACTGCAATTCATTATTTTGTCTCTGGCATGAAATTTGGGTATGGAATTTATTATGGTTTCAATAAGAAAAAAAAATATAATTTTTTTTTACCTGGTTGTAATGTATTGTCTATTACTGTTGGCTTTTCTGTGTTCAACACTGTAGTCCCACCTGGAAAAGAAATTATGCTTATGATGATACATGGGACACAACAAAGGACACAGCAGTCATTAGGAATATCATATACAAAACCCTGAAATATTGCTGTCTTTATTAGACATGTAGGTAACTGAGTATGTGAGCTTAAGCACGAAAATATGACATTAAAGGTCTGGTTTCCTTTATCAAAAAGGAACAGGAGAGCTCTTCATTAAATAAAGCAATCCTGGCAAGCACCAACTAAGTAATCCTCACAATGTCCCTGTGGCTGTCCTTATTTTATAGACACTGATTTGCTCCAAATCACATGGGAAGTCAGTGACTGATCCTCATGGCACTTCCTAAGAGTCACTAGTTTGTGCATTTATCCAAGACATATTGTTTCTCATATCATGGATGTGAGGTCCTCCAGCCCCTGCCATACTGGGTCCTCCTTGTGTTTTGTTTCATAGCTGTGTTGTGAGACCAGCTCACAAGAGATGCATGGGAAATTATGTCCTAAAGTCTCCTCGACTTCAGGATCTAGTCTAAGGCAGGTTTTACTTCTGTCTCAAAGGGAAGGAGAATTAAGGACTTCCTCTTTGTCCTTTTCTTTAAGCAGATAAACAAGAGGTGAGTGGGGTCATGGCCCTCTCTTAAGCACACTAATTGAAAATTTTAAAATACTTGACTTTTTAAAGCAAGCCTCATATTGATAAAGGAAACAAAAAGGAAATTAGCACAATTATAAATGCGCAGTGGGGTGCTGATTACCAGTCAATGGCTCCTCTTTTCTTTTCTCCAGCAAGCAAGTGCTTAAAGCATTATAGAAAGGATGACTATGATGGCTTCCAATGAGAATGAATGGCCAAGCTGTAGCAGCTTTATTTTTGTGAGAATGATCTGATGGGAAATGCAATAAGCCACGCAAATAGAGTAGCTCTGTATGAGGTCCAAATAGAGCAGGAAGGAATCTGGCCTAGAGCACAATTACAGTTAATTGCAAGGGAGGCTTCACTGTGATACTCACATATGTGCAAGTGCTGTCAGAGAAGCAACTCTAACAGTCATACCCATGAGAATGCAGGCACCACACTTGCACTGGGAATGGATAAAAAGAGGGCAAGGCACTGATGAAATCCTCTCTGCACTGCCCTAATATTCTTAATGGGCCACGAGACTTACATACTTGCCTTCTAGGCATTTTGGAGCAAGAAAAGAATGTCTACAATTAAAGTAGTGGGAAAATCTATTCTCTGCATTTTAGTGTTCTAAGCAACATCACATGTACAATGCACTGTTTCTACAGTGTCCAGAACAACTGGGCATACACTGCCTAGGGCTTCTAGGTGTTATAATAATAAATTATATTAACTTGTCTACACTTTTGTAGAAGGGCAATGTAGCAAATTTCAATTTTACTACTGAAATAGGTTCAATTCCCCAAAAGAGCTTGTACTCAGGAAGGCCAGTGGCTCTTCCCTTGTCTTAGAGATTATAAACTGCTCCCTAAGCACAACCTGCAAAAACTGCCAGCAGGTTTTTCTTCTGCTCAATAAGCTTTCCCTAAGGGACATGTGGGATGCAGTCCTGAGCTCCTTGAAGTGCAGAGATAATGAGTGAACATGGAAGGTGCTTGCAGAGATCTATCTCCTTCCCCTCACACAGCCTCCATCTATGTGGAATATGTCTCTAACTATGGGGCTTTGCAAGCCAGGGTAGGGCTTTGCAGGAAGCCTCAGTGTTTGCTGACCTGGCTTTTTCTTTTCGGAAAAACAAATAAATTAAAATGTTTCCTAACACTGAAAGCTTTCTGAGCTACCTCAACACAATGCAGACTATCTTATCAGACTCCCTGCATGGCTGTTTTCAAAATGAGTAAGATTCATCTGGGACACTGATTTGAAAAGCAGTGACACTGCCTTTTCCACTCAAGAATTGTTTTTTCAATTTATGATTTGCAACATGCAATTACAGGAGACATTGGCAAAGCTCAGAAAGGGTTTGATGCTGAAACTGTACTTTCATTTGTATCTGCTGCCTGACATTCTACTTGGCTCCTCTGAAAAAGCCAGTCTCTTACCTAAGGCTTCCCAATGTCCTCTTGCCAGATTTTAATACTATTTTATATCACGGATATAAGAAGCAATAAACATTTATTAGATAAGTACATCAGGGAGCAGTGATGAAATAACTTGTGTCACTGCATCTAAAAATAAGCTCAATTACTGTAGATTTATAGATCTCATCAAACAGACTCAGAGATTTGTGGAACAAGTGACCTCCAAGAAGAGATCAAAAACACAGCGGTGCCATGTCTGCTCTACCAGAAGGACTAGTGGTTCTGTGCAAAAGTCTGAGGATATGAAACCTAGCATGCTTCCTCTGCTCCAGATGCAGACTATGTTACCTCTCTCCCTCCTATGTTTCTGCTAGCGATAGCAGCTTGGAGAACATCAGCCTCTCTGTGGCTGTAATGCAGTATTGGCAGGGAAGCTCATGGAAATATTCCTGGCAGTATATGTGTGACTATGGTTTGATGAAACAAATCTGTTTTGTTTCTGTCTGGGAAAGGTTTGGGGATGAGATTTGAATCCCATACTCAGTGTTAGGTAGGAAGCATATATGTAAACCTAAACAACATTTGAATTCTTCAGTCTCAGGCAATAAACCTCAAGAAGTTTGCTGGCTTTTATTTTAATGAGTGAAAGTTTGATTAGGACATTTGATTAGACACAATTCCAGCCCCAATCCCTGCTGAAAAAAATTGTCCTCTCTTCCAGCTAGCCACTATTATTTGCTTCAAAAATTATATAGCTGAGGAAACAATCAAAAGTATTGTCATATGTAAAAGGCAGATGTCTATGTTTTGACAGCATTTACAATATGAACTGCATACCAATGTCCATTAATGTTGAGTGATTAAATCAGTGCAAATATTTAGCTGGTGATGGATATGAGCTACAATGAAGCTGCAATGGAATGAGGATGGTTTCTGCACCTGTCAGTTGGTAGTCATCACCTGTGCCACTGTGACAGTTTGCCTGGTCATCATCACACTCATCCACAGGCTTCCCTTCGGAAACTGTAGGGACTGCGGTAGGAGCTGAAACGAAAACCAATTGTTCAGTTAAAACATGTGCTGCAGAACCAGCATGCAATTGGCAGTGACATCTTGATGAGCACCATGTGCTCTCTTCATGTGTTGTATCTGAGGGTTGAAGCAAATCTACTTTGCAGGCTAGTTAGTATTTCTTTGGAATGGGGAGTATCTCTGTTCTGCCTCCTGTGCTAAGGCACTCTGAGCATAGCTGGGCAGCAAAGCCCAGCTGATGGGTGTTTGTTGTTCCTGCAAAATAAAGTGAAAGCCTGGCAAGGCAGAATGAGAGTCTTGGAGGGTTGTCCGTGGGGTAGAAACCCCACAATTTTATTGCTGGCCAAAATGCCTGTGAGTGGCCCTGTACAGAGGAGCAGAAGGGCTGCATGCTCAAGGTGGTAATTCTCCAGCACCCACCACGTAAGAAACCTCTCTGCAGAACACATGTAAGAGAGGAAATGTCTGAGCAGAGTCCTGGTAACAGTGGCAGGAAGGCAGTGGGATGTAGAATCAATTTATGCTCAATGAGGAGACCTTGAAGGAGTTTCTTTTGTGTTTTTGTTGAAGTTGTAAATGAATAGGACATCACTGATGTCAGCCATCCCTCCTGGCCACCTGCCTGCTTCTCATTGGTGATGACTTTCCAGTAGCTGCTGCCTAACCAGTAAAAATCTGAACTTTGTTATTACAGTTAAAAGCTTCAGATTTGTGTAAGATGCCAGAAAACACATTTCTAGTCCAGTACCTGTAAAGCATATCACATCTGGAAAATCAGAATGCAGATACTTGGTGTTATATTTAAGTTTACGTTTTACGCCACACATATACTTCCCCAGCTTAAGATAAGCATTCTTGGAATGTGATCCAGGCTTTTGTCTGTTCTCACCTACTGTTATTTTCATTAGCAATCTTTTTCACTCATTATAAACTGTGCAATAATGCATGTATTTCACAGATTCTTCTTTCCCTTTCTATTGCCCCCAGTGCCTGCTGGCCACATGATCACACACATTGACATCTTGGCCTGAAAAAATCAGGAGAGGTCGTAATTTCTGAAGTAGCTATATTCTGGGATGAAACATGCTTCTTTAGGAGCCTGACCTATGCTTTACAGGTTCAATCTATCCCTTGTTAAAGAAACAGTTCTATACCTACTATGAATTATGCAGAGCATTTGTTCCCCACATTGCTATAAAAATCCCTCTGGGGGCTCCCTCTAGCTTTCTATAGCCAGTTAAGTTTCTTATCTTGATCTTTGTGCCCCTGTATACCCTCAAGCTTGCCTACATCTCTGCCATCATTTCATAAATGCCCCCCTGGGATGCTTCAAGCACACAAAACTTCCCCTTGCTCATTAATGCTGGAGAGCTGATTTCTACTCCTCTCTGCACCAAACTCTATGCTTCTTTTTTCATCTCACCTCTTTTTTTGCTCAGTATATCTCAAGTGACTTCTCTTCATTCAACTCCTTCCTTAAGATGGTTATACTACAAAGTGTTCTTATTATGCTTCTTCCATGGATAAATGGGAATTGACCTTACCTGTCCATGGGTGACCTGCAGGTGAGCACACATCAAAAGTGCACCATAGCAGATAGAAAAATGTAAAAAAAATGTGCTCCAGGGGGAAAAAAATTGTACTTGCTGTTGCAGTTTGCCTAAAAGCAAAGACTTATCCAACTCACTGAGCAATGGTGGTTCATGGACTCACTTTCTATGTCTAGGTGGCTACAGGAGCCCTGTGGCTGAAGGACTTTGCTCACAGGTTGTGAGTTTACATAAGGCAGGTGCTAGGTTTTCTTTTTTTCTGAGCAAGTAGCACAATAGTCTGCAGGAAGTAAGAATTCCCAAAGGAAACAAGGACTTCCTGCAGGAACTAAGAAGTATTTCTAACCTTCCTACTTTCCGGGGCAAGTAAAAACATACTTATTCAATCTGGCCTTCACTAAAAAAACAACACAGAACTCCTCAGTTCTCACAGCAAATGCCTCCCACACTTCCACCCTGGGGGAGAAATGGTGAGAAAGAAATTGAGGGAGAGCAGTCACTTCCATTCATCTTGGGAGCCTGTTCAGCTACGTCTATACAAGGTGTCATATGAAACCCCAAATAACATGATTTGTTATTCTGTGTATTGTTAAGCTGTGTGGTTTATAAGCCTTACCACTGTACCATTATCCACCAGATAAAATTGTGAAATTCACATAGTATTATCTGTAGTTATCTATGAAGTTAAATAATTTTTGTTTATATAACAAGAATCAAAGCTGACTTATGTCACAGTTCAAGGATAAATGTCTAAACTTTGCTTTTCCTGGTCTTTCATCTCCTACATATTCTTGCAAAACTAAAGCTTGGTAATGAACAGAGAGGGCCCCTTTACCCTGCAAAAGGAACAGCACAGACACTGTCCAGCCAAGTGATCTTTGCCCATCATAGTGTCTGGTGTGACTTTCAGGTCCTTTGAAGAATAAAGGGACATAATTGCTATATTTCGTGCAAAGCTCCCTCTGCATTCTCAGAAAACATTTCTTCCAGGGTTGTATCATGGTAATATAAAATTTAAGTTCCTGTCTTTATTCTCTCCTAATAGCTCTCTGATTCTCAAAAGTATAATCATAAGACTGCTTAAGGGAACGGAAAACCATGTGGAGAATATCACTGTGATTCAACAAAGGAATGGGAAAAAGAATAATACTTGTGCCTTGGGCATATTCAAATGTCTGCAGAGAAGGAACTGATTAGGCCAAGAAACAGCACTAATGGCAGTCATGGAAGCGAGAGGCCGACACGCTGCCTGTGCAGACACAGCAGTCTTCAGCAGTAGACCAAGTAGAGAATGTATTTATGAAAATAATAAAGTGCATTCATCTCTAGCAGAGCAATTACCTTCAAGTTCACAGCCCAGCAGCTCCATTCGCAGCCCCAGTCCCCCATGTGTGGCTCTCTCAGGGTAGACACGGATGAATCTTGTCGATACAGGTTCAAATGTCCTCAGTTCAGGCGTGTCATAGTTGGTGTTGCCTTCGAAAGTCTGCAAAGCATGACAAATGCTACTTGTTAGAATAAAAAAAAGCAAAAAAATAGCTATTTTCAACACTCATCTCTTTTCCTTCATTTTATCCAGTCTTTGAATTAGGAGAGCAGTAGGCCACATACTAACTGCTTAATAAGTGTCAGGCATTTCTGTCCTAAATGAGAATGGAAAATGCATTGTTAAAGCTTCTCAGAAAAGTAATGGATTTCATTTTTCATAAACTCAGTAGCAACCAATCCATCAGGGTCATAACAAGAGCTGAGTGTCTAATGAGACATGTTTTTAAATGACACTCTGATCTGGGGTTTAACTGGGTGACATTTCCAACACTTCTCAGGGAAAAAAAAATGGCTGAGGTGAAGATCCTGTCACCTTTTAAGTGGTTACAATAATAATCCAACTATTCAGGAGAAAATTTCAATCTGATTTCCCCCAGTGACAGAGTTTCACAAGTTGTAGCTATTTCAAAAGGCATAAATTAAACTTCAGAAGCAGTAGCTGCAAGAGTTCTTACAGTGAGCCTGCTATTGAAGAAAAATAAAAAGAAAGAAAGAAGAAAGCTGCTTCCTGACAAAACTGCAATATAATCCAACAGGAAAGGCAGGTCAGCAAATGTACATTTTAGACAAAAATCTCTTCTCTGAGTTGCACTCTGCATTCTTCAGCCATAATGCAACTCTCAATGGCATTTGTTTGATATCTTTGGCTTCTCTTGTCAGTGATCTCTTGCATATAGAACATGCTATAATTTGTTCTTATAGCAACACTTCAGGTGCCTCCATGGAGCTGATCAGTCTTTAGAATGAATTAACTGCACAAAGAAACAGTCCTTGGCATGAAAAGTTATAGCCCAAGGTAGGCAAAAGCAGTTATTTTTTACACTATTTTATGGTAAAAAATGACCTCAGAATATCATGTACAGAAGACTCTAAAGTACAAAATATGAAAAAGTATATAACAAACAAGTAAAAACAAAGTATTTTCAACTTTTCTATGAATTTAGTGAAATGACAAAACAATAAAAATCATCCTCTTTGAACTGCAGTCCAAATTTGGGATTAGAAGCACTATTAGAAGATACTTCTAACTCATAGCTGCAAAACCTGAAGCTTTCTTCAGGATGAAACCACCAGATCCCTTGATTTTGCAAGAGAACAAAACCCAAGCTGCAATGAACTCCTTCTATTCATCCAGGGCAGAGAAAACAGAGTCCATGGGAAAAGCTGGCTGTATTTCTCAAGGCACAAAACCAGCACAGGTAAATGTGATTGTGGCTTGCATTTTCAGTGCAGTCCCAAAAGCCTTGCTTGTTTTTACTGTTTTTACTGTCTTATGATCCAATGGTCCACCACCCCTTATGGTCATTGGTTATAGAGTGGCAGTTGCAAAAGCCAGTGGCGATGGGACACTATGGCCAACTAAAGTAAAAAAATAATTTCAACATCAATGCTGCTTCTCCCACTTCCTAGGGGAATTGCACTCCAAGGTGGCTTCAAGAAGCACTGGTTGACCCATTATATTGCCAGTGCTTGGAAGACAGTTGTCAGGAATTCATGTGTCGAGGGCCTGTCAGATCTATTTGACATGGAATTACATATTATTATATTTGAATAAAAATACCGTGAGAATGATCAGAAAAGCTACCTACCATATGAGAAAGAATGAATGCCATTTTATGTGTAAAAAGTAGACAGACACATGTATCTGAGGAATCCTTGCTCCCTTTCTAATAGTAGTCTTAATAGCAACATATAATAATGAAAACTGATTTATAAAAGACATCTCGACTGGAGTACTGACACATAGACATTAGAATTCAATAGGCATCTAGAATTATATTGAATCATTGTCCTTTGTAGTGCAGAGCTGCCTGTGATTCAATTTTGACTGTTCATTTAAAACACATACTGATATTCTTTGTGGGAGAGGAGAGAGGAGTATACAGTGAAACCTCAGTTTGTGGGTGTCTTTTATACAGAATGTGTCACAAATTGCTTTACTTTGCTACAAAGATAAGTTATAATAAATAATAGTTAAACAGAAGAGAAGCTAAACTGGTAAGAGGAAAAAAATTCTGCCTAACATATTTTAAAATCAAAATAAACATTGCAGAGAAATTTAAAAAGTATGTTCCAAATGGCAGGATGTTCTGAAGTTTCTTGTAACAGAAATGATGAGAAGAACTGTAAAAAAACCCAAAAAAATCCCCAACCAACCTCGCCCCCAGAAAAAGTGGCAGGAGGAAAGAAGTATGAAAGTGAAAGGCAACTTTATGGAGAAAGCTTGAGTAAGCAAGCCTATGGACAAGAAATGCAAATTGGATCTTGAAATGAAAATGGAGTTCTGCATGGTCATTTGAGGATGAGTGATTTTCACTCCTTTGAGTGCTTGAGCTAGACTACAGGGAGAAACATTTTGCACATTCAAAAATAGCTGAAATTGGGTCAGCCAAAGAGGAAGGAGTTATGGTAGTCCTTGTGGAAGGAGCTGCAGGCATGAATGACAAGATCATGTTGAGAAACAAGGTGATGTTTCACCCTTCGTACACATTCTGTTGTTATGTTTAGTGTGTCACTGTACTTTCTCCTAAAATGCAGTTGTTTGTTTATTGAAATTCATGACTTTCACCAAGTGAAACAACGTGTTTCATTTCATATAACAGGGCTGTTTCTAATCCACGTTCCTGCTGTGACTCATTATAGCACGCTGTCCCATCCAGCTCTACTTACAGTTAAAAATACAACATTCCAGTATTAACATTTTAAATCCCTCAGACTCCCGAATCATGGGATTTATCTGATTCTCCTTAAAGAAAACTTGTGCTTGCGAAGAAAGTTTATTAAATGTCTTGAATTTTTAGGAAGGGTTATAATTATGCCACGGGAGATTTGAATTCCAGCCCTCTCCATTCCATTAATCTTGAAAGTTAATTTCTGGTAGGGATGAAAACTGAGGATGGGCTCAGTGCATTAGTTAGCACACTGGTTTTCTTGTCAAACTGCTAACTTCTGACAATGATGGCAAGTGCCTGTATTAGAAAACAGAAAGCCATGCAGCAGACGGCGCACTGCTTTGAAAGCATATGGCATTATTTTTTTCCCTCGTTGAGCCACAGTGTAGAAGTACATGTCAAAACAACATCTATTTTAGAAAGAAAATGGTTAGATCCCATTGTTGATTTACACTCCCTTCACACTTTATGATGAAGTCAAAACTCATGTTAACAAGAGAAAGGAGATGACTGCAAAGGCTGAATTCGTTTAGTTTTAATCCCCAAAACAAATGATGGAAAGTGAGAAAATGCAGACATATTCAGTGAGATTAAAACAGGAGAGAATGAAGTCCAATATTTACCAAATGTGCCTGGAAAAGCAACATCCATGGGCCCACTCAGCTTTTCCTTTAAGGAAACACAGGTTTGTCCAACGGATGAGTCTATGTAGCAAAACAGCTTTACATCTAATTTTCAGACTAACGCAGATGAGATATGGAGCAACTCTCAGGATTCCCATCTGCCAAGCACCACACTGATTTGCCTTTTGAGGGCACATTGTGGTATATGATTCCCTGGTCTTGTCAGTACTACAACACCAGTTTGTGAGCAGGACTGCATGCCTACTCATTTCCTCAAGAAAGTGGGTAGGAGGACTAAAAAGGGAGTCGTGCCTTTTGAGGCAAAAACGCACTTTGTGAGCAATGATAGCAAAATGGGATGGAAGACTTCAATGGGATTTGGCGTAAATAAGATAAATACTCAGTGCAATTTAGGTCCTGGATTCCTTACATGCAAAGGCAAACCAAAATAGGTATACTCCCAGAAACATTTCTGGCCCAGACTAATTTTTCTTTTCCTTGGCATCTAACCCAGCAATTAATTTGGCCCTCCTGTGTCTTTCAGTTCCTGCTTGAGCCTGTGAACCAGCTGCCCTTTATCCCCAAGCAATCTCCAAGATGCTTCACTTGTGACAATACAATAGTACTTTTCACTTGGGATGGGATAACATGTCAAAAACTCCATCACTCTCTTTTGCAGGGACTTGGATCAGATCATTACAAAGAGCCTGTAAAACTCTCAAAGCAACCTACAGGCTGTTCAGAAATACAACAGGTGCCCTATTGAGGTAAACGACACCATTCTTATTCTACAGCTCTGACAAAAAAAGGAGCAAAGGAAAAGTGATTCAGTGTCTCAAATAAATTTGTTCGCTGTCAGTTTTAGAGTAGAGTTTATTATCTTAGAGTAGACGTTAAATCCCATTGCATGGGATTTCACAGTAACCTAGGGGCCACAGAGGCATCTCCATTTTCAGAAATAAAGCCTAAACTAGCTCTTGAATAAGCAAAACCTTTGCTGCCACAAAGAGGCAAATGTCCTAAGGCCAGCTCTTGCCCTCAGGCATGGGACATCCCCCACAGCATCCCTTCAGGGCTGCTGCCCTTGGAGCCCTCCAACTTAGCTTCATCCTGACTGTGTGTCTTTTCTAAGGTCAGAGATAGATATGTGGAAACTTAATGCAAATTTTATTTTTTAAAAATCCTTAGTGCAGAGTTCTCCCCCTTACCTTTATCTTTTTCTTGGTAGAATCCATGATCATTTTCCAATCTGATCCATTGTTGCTGTAGCCAATTTTGAATTTTTTCATGAATACTTTGTTTTCTCGGTGCTTGCCTCCTTGCACAATTATGCCCCTCACTATTTTTTCTTCACCAAGGTCTATTTGAAGCCATTCATTTGTATATGGATGAGTAGTTGGTGGCAGTGCCCAACCGGAACGGCTTGTTATGAGACGAGCATTTTCTGGGATCCAGTTTCGATCCACTTGAGTAGATGCAGTAATCTGAGAGTCAGGAATGAGCCCAGACACCATACCCAGCATCCCAGAGCAAGGATAATCTACAGAGGAAATAAAACCCAAATAAATTAAATAGTTAATCTGAAGAACCATCACAACAGAAAGAGGACATATCAGTCAGTTCAACTATCTTAAGTAATCACCTGCTTATTTCTTATATCCACTGTAATTTATTTGGATTTGTATACGATTTTCATTTGTTCAAACTTGCACATCCTAGTTTTGGCAGGAAGTACCAAAATACCGCAAGTATTTTTGGCTTGGTGGGAACTAAATGGATCAGAAAATCCTATTCTATTCTATTCTTGTTTTCTATTCTTCTTGCTAAGGCAAAGAGTGCAGAGTCATCTGAATTTGTGTATATTTCCCTAGAGAAGACTTCCAAAATCAGCCAAAAACTGGTTGCAGATTACTTAATTCTGGTGACATTGGAAATGTAAATCTTCATACACTCTGTAAAATATAATTTATTGCTGCGCTTGAGATTTTCCTAATGTACTTCTTTGGCCTCTCAGGCTTTTTCAGATGACACAGAAGCTAAACAGTTGCTTCTTTTATGACCCTAGATAAAAATAAATTAGAAGTACCTGCTAACAAGGATGAAGATTTCCAATCTAGAATGTAACAGCAGTTCTGCTGATATTACCTTCATCTAATCTGAAAAGATATCACAAAATGACCTGGAATTCTCTAACAAAGTAATCAGTAATCTAATTTTCCTGCTGTATGGAAACCAGTCTTAAGAAACATTTTCAAGACTAAAGAAACACCTCAAGGGAAAAAAATATCCCTGGAACTATTAAAAATTAGTGCCAATGAACTATATTAAGTTCTAAAAGATGTGTTAGAAAAATTAGCTTTGTAAAATCAATGAAATCATTAACATTTTCTTTCCCCTATAACTTGTATTTTAACTTGACATATAAAAGCACCTACCTGCTGTAGGAATTATAGAAAACCCAAAACTACATAAAAAAAAGATTTCTCAAAAAAATTTGATAGGTAACTGAGATAAAAAGGAAATACATTCCAATACTGATCACTATTGGGAACTTGACTATAAATGCCATTGCCTGTATAAGCTCTGGATCTAAGCATTTGTGCCTTGCAATGCTTTTAAACCTAGTTATGGATGTTTGTTCCTTGGGAAACCTGACAAGAACTACTATGAGAGAGGGTCTGAAGGGTTAGGAAGGAAAAATAAGATGGGAATTTGCAACATATCTGTGTATCTCAGGTGTTTTGCATGGAGCTGTAAAGCAATTGCAAGTGATTAAACCTAAAAGATAACAATAGAACAACATTCAGATAACTGGATGTTAGGGTTGCAGTGTTTTCCTGCCTTTTTATTTCATTTTATTTTATTTTAACGTTTTTTCCTGAACATTTCCACATTCAGACCACAGTGGAAATCATGAACATGCATTTCACTCATATGCCGTAGCATAGGCACAATAAGTTCTCTTGATTTTATAATCCTTCCCAAGACCCACCTGTTATCTTGCAGCCATAAACTTCAAATCTCAGTGAAACTCCATTCTCCCAAGACACGGGTCTAATTCGCACAAACCGTGTTAAAACTGGTTTGGCAAAAGGTCTGTAAACAACATCAGTGGGATTGCTGTTCCCTTGGAACACCTTTGTGTGGAAAGAAAAATTATATATTTGTTAGGTTTTTTTCTCAAATGGTGTTTACAATTCTGTTTTACATATAGTTGAGATACAAGGCCTAACTGGAGTTATTCTGGGGGAGCTAAGACAGAAGTCTTGCATGGAAACTATTTCATTAATCTCCTAACACAGTTTTTGCAGACAGATTAGCTGTTCTTGGAGAGGAAAAAAAGAGAAGATGTAAGGTGTTCAATGATACTAAAAAATCTGTTCCTAATGCCCAGATCTATATGCAGGAATGACAAACACTGATCTTTGTCACCCAAGGAATTCTGTGTCCTGGAAAAATCCCCCAATGCCCCATTATGGCAGTTTTATTTCTTGTATGCTCATAGAATGATGCAAAAAAGCTACAGAACCTCAGGCTCAAATTAAAGCTTTAGATTTCAGTTAGACCACATAAAAACCCTATATGGAGTTAGGATAAAAAAAAAACCATTATTTTGATGTCCTTGGGCTTAGGAGTTTTGCAGAGTGTGTTGTGCAAACCTTGCTTTGTTAACCTCCTGTTTGCAAGTCCCTTTCAACAAGTACTCAGAATTTCTTTCTCCATGCATACTAAAATGGAAGTCTATTTAAAATCTACACAACGGGCTCTAAGATTTTCCTTGCGTCCCCTGAGGATGGCAGTCAAATTAGATGAACAATGAGACTTCCACAAGAAGGGACAGGACTGTGCTGTGCTTTCATGTTGAGGATCCTGCAGACACAGTCCTTCCTAGCAGAGCCAAAACCTTGCAATGTTCTAGTCCCAAGAAGGTGATTCAGCTTCCTGCTTCTTCCTCACATAGAGAGGACTGATTTCCTGTTGTTTTCCATGGATACAAACCCCATTCCTTTTATGGGAGATTCTCCCATTTCTTACACACACTGTCTACTTTCCTGTTTGTTCCTTGCTGTAACTGTACTAACTGTACTAATTTGGAGCAGAGACCAAGAGCACACAGCTGTCAACTCATCAGGCTCAGTTACACCTCAAGTAATTGACTATGAGAGTTTCAATTCTAGTAAGAGATTTTAAATGGAGTCATGTTTCTTTTTAGCAACTTTCTTCCTTTGTGAGGACCTGCTGTAGTTTTCTCGAAGTTTGCATCTGACAGAGAAAATGAGTCTTTTCTCAAAAGTATAAGGCTCCTTATACGTTAGCACAACACTAGTGTGAGGCTGCCTCGAAGAGATCTGTGGCTGCAAACTTTCAATTTGAATAAAGTATCAGAGGGAGGCTGGTGCATAGTTTTTTCTTGTCCTAATCAACAGGAAAATATTACCATTTTAGAAACCTGACTTTTTTTTTTAAAATAAACCCTTTGAACAAGTGACAGGTTTAGGAAGTGTTCTCACTAATTAAGGACAGCATGTGCAAGAGAAACTCATGTAAAATACACTCTTGGAGAGTTTACAAATTGAAGCTGGTAATGAAAATCAGGCATGGTCTGATTTTGAAAGAAGCATTTGTTCAGATTACAGAAACCAGAGCCAGGAAATCCCATGTCTCATACCAGCCACAGCACTGACTCCTCTTGTGACTTTGGGCCAGTCAGTTATTGTATCTTTATACATCACTGTACTGTGCCCACACTGTGGCATTTGACCTTCTGTTGTTTCTGCTCTGTAAAACCAGGATAATACCTGTCAAAGAGAAGTTTTCAGGATTCATTTTTTTATTGTTTGACAAAGTGCTTCAAAGAAGAAAGATGTATGTGTTTAACATCACTACCACTTTGATTAGATAAATGTAGTGGACTTGGCATAACACTTACAGATGAGTCAGAGACTAACCAGTAACCAAATATTTAGAGCTAGATAGAGTTACACTGATAGAGTTTTATATTGGACAGCACTTCTGTGTCCTCAGAGAAGGGTCACAAAAAAGCTGCTTTGAAGGGAGGTACCACAAAACCTTTCCAGTTGCATCAGCCTCTGGCAGCCTCTGGGGATGTTGCTCCCAGGCAGCTCCTGAGCCAGGTGGGAAGAGAGGCACAGCCTCAGTGGGACTATTCATGTGAGAGCTGGAGCAGAACTGACTTCTCAGTAATGAGCTTTATGCTCATGGTAGTGGATAATGAAGATTTTTCTTACGAGTGTCTAAAGCTGTTTCATTGGGAGGTCACAGAGAGCAAATCTGCTGATAAATGGAAAGGTGATAAAAATCTATGAGGATGGAAAGATGTGCCTAATCATCTGTCTGCATGACCCCCATCACTGAGATACTTGAAAGTCTAACAAACCACTAATCACTTGCTAGCACTCCTGCAAGACAGCATGGCCATGCACAGGGAGCTGAGGGGCTGACACACTGCATAGCCAGAGCTTCAGATAATCAACTGACAATTTTTTCCAAAGGTTCTGCATCATACGTTTCTCAAGGTCACAGAGAAAATCTCTGGCAAGTTGGGAAACAGCAGAATACTCCAGGGAAAAGACACAAACCACTGAAATTATGATGAGTACAACAGACAGGGTAGGACTTTGCACTATTTTCAGCTCATTTAGGCTTTGCATAAACATTTCTGTAGCCCATCACTACTGAGAAAATAGCTGTCTTTTGGATTTGGGAAATGGTTAATCCTGATCAACATGACTTAACCTGTGATAACTTATTCCTCTATTTTAAACAGCTGATAGTAACTAAACAGTTTAACAGACAATGTCTTGGCCAAAGAGAGATAAAAAAATTAAAAGACTTACAACAGGCTTGTTTCCCTCCTTCAGTGTAATCCAGTCCTCTCCATTGGAGCTGACATCTACACGATATGTTTTCAGATAGTATTCTTTCTTTGTTTCTTTTGAGATGGCTCCTTGGGTCCCAATTCCAGAAACAAAACGGAGAAGGCCTAAATCTACCTATGGTAGAGAATAATTTGGGATGTGAAGAAAATCAGTTCAAAGCATGACAACACCGCAGAGGTGACACCCCCCTCCACCCCACTATGTTTTGAAAAAATAATAAGGATTTTATAAAAAGGAAATTTCAAAAATATTGTTGATAATAGCATAGACATAACCACCTCTTTAGTAAACAGTGTCAGCACAGAAGAAGGGAAAATATGCCTAGTTAGCCAGGAGTTATTCATATGCCAGAGAATTCCCTTTCCTCCGGGGAGGAGGAACTAGAGACCCCATCAGGGCTACTGGGAACCACCAGACTGCAAAGAAGTTACTAGACAAGTTCCTCAAGGACCAGTCTGGTGAACAACCTTACTTAATACTTTCATTAACTACCTTGCATAGATGTTAATGAAATTCACTAAGGACACAAAGCTGCAAAGCATTGTCAATACAGAGGAGACTCATGCAGTGAGAACTGAGTGACCCTGAGAACTGCAGTATTAGAAATGGGATGAAATTTAATAGTACAATGTCAAAGTTGTGCACTTAGGGAATGATAACGAGAATTCTGCTAAAACCCAGGAGATCATCACTTGCAAATAGAAGGGAAGAAAAGAATCCCATGGTGTATTAGTTAGTCACAAGGTAATTATGAATCACTGTGTGATTTTGTCAGGAAAAAGGCAAATTAGTTGCTTGTACTATATGATGTATTTGAAGAAAACAGAAAGAAGCATTAGCACAAGTGTAATAATTCTGTTCCAACTGTCAAATGTAGTGAACTTCAATCATTAGAAAATAATGTCATCTTGAACTTGTTGGAGAAATGAACACTATGACATGCAGGTGAATGCATGTTAGAGGTCTTCTCTCTTCTTCACTCATTCTCTCCCTTTCTTCTCTCATGAAGGTACATTGTCCATTACAAATGAACAAGTGATTTAGGCTAACCTTGCTCTCCCCCTGTTATTTATTTGTCATCCAGATCTTTTCCTCATCTAGTTCATCATGTGGCATCAAAGAAGTATTGACCTGTTTGGGAGGATGATGTGGGGTGCTGGAATACAGCTACTCAAATCAGTTCTGCTGGCAAAAGAAACCTTTGTCCCTGTACACAAGTCCAGATGCCAAATGGCTAAAACTAGGCACAAAACTTTCCCACAGTCAGGTTGGTGACCACAGTTTTGAAATGCCTGCAATTTTCTTACAGACTGCTTTTGGCCATAAAAACAAATCAATTAAAATCAAATTCTTCACCCTCTTTCGCTGCAGCTAGAACCTTGTCCTTGTTTCCTACAGCAAGCCATTTAATTTCAATATAAAATGACACTATTCATGACATATTAATCAGAGCCATTAATTTCTCTAAACTTCAATTGTCCAAAGTTTAGTAGGATAATAATAGGTTGAATTAACCCTTCTCAAGTGAATGGCTGCATGAATGTCTCAGGCTTTTTCATTATTTCCAAAATATGCAGGATGCAGAATGTATGTGTCCTATGTCCCACGGGCATCCTTTTTCCAGGATGTATGTCATATATCCAAAGGCACTGGTGCAGTTAAATCAACATGCACTGCATTCTCTCTCAAAAGGCTGAAGAAGTGCTATTGAGGACAGGCTGTCTGCTCTCTCAATGCCCATGTCATATGCAAGGCATTTTGGAGTCTTCCAACACAAGAATAGCAGCCTTGTGTGTGACAGATAGAACTGGCTTTCAGGGCAAAGCCCCTACCCTAGTTTTTAAGGCTGGTAAAGTCTATATGTAACATTTTAGCCCTTGTCTTTAGGGGTGGAATGCTGCAACATCTTGTTTTTGTGTGATTTAAAAAAAAAAAAAAAAAAAAAAAAAATCAGTCTTAAAAAAATAATTCCCAGCACCACCTTACAAAAACAATCAAGTGATTTAAAGTAACTGGAGAGTCTCAGATGTTAGATTGTTGCAATCTGAAAGTTAATGGGGGAATCTGGGCATCATTGCACTGAGCAATCTCAGCTTAACTTCAAATGCTCTCCAAACTGTACTCTGCTGATTGTAAAGTGTGCTGCACTGAGTTATGTCCAATACCACATTCACTTCCAGGCTGAAGTGCACTTGAAAATCTGGAAGTCTGAGGGAGTGCAGAGCTAAGTTATTTAAATGATCTGCTTCTCTTACAATTTGAAACAGCTCTTCAGTTTTGAAATGATTAGGGTCCCAAGCCCGTACCGTTCCAACTGATTTGAAATTATTCTAGTAGGGGCTTTTTAATATACAGTAAGTACTTCATTGTGAATAAAGTCAAGCAATGGCCTATTCCAAGAGTTCTGTCTATTTGAAGCCAAGTTAAAATTTAACACTGGTGGCTTAGGGAAGGGTTTGATTACTTGATGCCTGAGCTAACAATGGCTACCAGTCAGTGACCATTCAGGTATCTCAGGCTTGTCCCATCAAAAAACTTCAGGCCCCTAAATTTTGCTGGGTCCCAAATTCTGGTATTCAATACAGCTTCTTAATTCCTGGGCACTGAATATCCTACAGCATCACTCTCACTGCCCAAGACTAACTCCTAAACACATAAGGGTTATAGACATATACCGTCATGCCTAAAATTTGGCAGAATTCTCTCACTGGGAGAGACAGAGGCTCTGAGAGGATCTCTAATTTATTGCTTATAAGAAAGGAAGGGAAGAAACAACTTCATTAGCACTCCTGGCTTCTGTAACTAAGTAAGACAGTACTGGAGGAGGGAGGCCTCTCTCCTTCTTAGGGAGCACATCTCTTCACACACATGTGCTCTCTCTGGATCAGCAAATCTTTACGTGCTCCTTGAAAACTGGAACTATGTCAACAGCAGTCCTGTCCTGGAATGCCTGGAGTCTGACAGCTCAGCACAGCTTTAAACCCCTTGCAAAAGCAAGCTGTAAGCACAGACCTGATGCATACTGGGGGCTGTTTGCTCACAAGCTGATAGAGGAAAAAAGAATACCATTACTCCACCAGTGTTTTGTGACAGAGGAGCAGTGCAAACAAGAAAAGTGAGGCTAAGAAGCAGAGAAGTGGAAGGTTTTCAGTACTCTGTGTCAGTGAAAAGGCCCAGGACAGAGGTAGAGCTTAAGGCATTTTCCTCCCTTTGACAGCTTTCTGCAGGGGCCTCCAGGGAGGAACTTCTCCTTGCCAGGTGCATACAAACAGAATTGTGACACTGAGTAACCCCCTGTGGTGTCTAAGTATGTTTGCAAATCAAGCTCTAAATATACCAATCTTCTTCTCTAAGTAAGGTGATAGAAATATATTGTGTAGAAGACTACCTTGGAAACTGCATGGCACATTTTAATGGGCTGTTAAGCTCACCTTCATTAATCATTTTGTGATGCATTTTGTTTTCTTTCCAATGTCTTTGAAAATTTTGCTTTCTATAAAATGCAAAATTTCCCATAAAATACATATTCTAAATGTGTCATGGGGTCTGTTCAAAGTTGAAGTTCAACTGGATCAATGGCTATTAACAATTGGAACCTGAAGGTACCAAAATGTAGCAGTGGTAGGACATGGCTTTTTTACATGTTTTCCAGAGGAATCAATGCAGAGGGTACTAGCTCTGGAACAGCTGATAGGAATTCTTTTGCATTTTGGAGGTTTATGTTTATAGAGTTCAACTCTCTGTGTAAGTTCCAGTCAACATGGTTTGTCCACTCCAAAGAAGTCTCCAAATCTTAACATGACCAGAGGCAACCCATTCTTCTCAGATACAGGCTCCTCCAACTATGACAGTAATACGAATCTTTAATAACTAGCTTTTTCTTTTTATTTTCTTGTGTTTTTTCTTTCAAGAACTTATGTTTCACGTTAAAATGACTGTGGAGAGAGGTGGTGATGAAATACGGTACTTTTGAAGATGAACATCAAATGCATTTCCCTGCAATTATTTGACATTTAACTTTCTGCACATATGATAAACAAGCATCTGGTATTTATTTTAGAGGATGCAAGTGATTTTGTAAGTTATAGCAAGCTGTATGACTGTGTTCTGAGATAGGCAGCTGTCTCCAAACCTGAAATCTTGACATTTCATTTTCATGACCAGACTTTCAGCTTTGACTAACTGCAGTATGTTGCTAGTTCTTTTTTCAAATTTTGTTCATTTTCATTCAGATTGAAAAGCATATCTCTCTTGGCAAATGATGCCTTACGGTCTTATCCAAAAACACAGCCTTTGATAATTGCCTGTGCTGCAATGTGACCATCTTTATCCATAAGTGCAAGTCTAGGAGCAGACTTGCCTGCCTATAGGAATGGGTCCCTAACTTACAAGAAATGAGGAGCAGCTCAAGTGTGTAATTTTTTTTTTCCAGGAGAGAAATGTTCATGTAAAAGAAAAAGCCTCAGTTGTTCCTATTTCTAAAATCAATTTATTTCCTGAAAAAGCATATTGCAAGACACTAGCTGCTTCTACATATGAATTACTTCCCCTCTATATATTTCCAATGTCTTTTGGCATCCAGGAGAAATATTTTTATTGCTGTCTTACTGTCTCCAAAAATGTGTGTGAGTGACACATTTTTAAAACAGAGATATGCAAGGGGTGGCATATGCATTTTATTAGAGACCAGTTAAAGAGATGGAAAAAAATAACATTTAGCTCTGCACAATGTATCATGTAGCAAATCTTAGCAAACTGCTGGATAAAGAACAACACACAACATACAGGGCTTGAAATGAATATTGCTGCTTCCTGTCGTCATACATAACCATGCTGTAGCATGGAAGACCTTATTTTCAGAATGAAAATCTGCCTTGTTAAATAAAATACAGTCAATGAGGGAGCTGTGGCAAGGGAGCAATTTTGCCAGCTTTTAACACTCCTGCTGTAGGTCTGTTCAACAGCCTGAGAAAATAAAGGACTGAGTGCTGGAGTTTGATTAACAACAGGAAGCTTTTTGTTGTGGGCATCTCTTGTGGCTTGAAAAGCTGCACAATCCATCACTTGACACAACATACCAAAGTAAATATTTTAGAGAACTGTGTCATTTCCCT